GCACGGTCGACATATGCGTTAACAACACTCCTCTTGTACCTGTCAGGGCAGTCGCTGTTGGCATTTAGGCACATTCCTATGTTTGTTTCCTTAGTGTAGACTGCAGTGTGGAAACCTCCGCCCTTTTCCATGACTGTTACATCTAGAAAGGGCAGCTTCCCATCCTTTTCCATCTCGTAAGTGAAACGCAGCACAGAACTCTGCTCAAATGCCTCCTTCAGCTCCTGCAGATGTCTGACATCAGGTACCTGTGTAAAAATGTCGTCAACATACCTGCAGTATATGGCCGGTTTCAAGTTCATGTCGACTAAGACTTTTTGCTCGATGGTACCCATGTAGAAGTTTGCAAACAGGACACCTAGGGGAGAACCCATGGCGACCCCATCTACTTGCTTATACATGTGCCCATCCGGGCTCAAGAAGGGTGCCTCTTTAGTACAAGCTTGGAGTAGTTTCCTCAGAATATTTTCTGGCATGTCAAGAGGAGTACAGGCTGGATCACGATACACTCTGTCGGCTATCATTCCGATTGTCTCGTCCACAGGTACGTTGGTAAACAGCGATTCTACGTCCAACGAGGCTCTTATCCCTGTGGCCCGTGTGCCCCGCAGTAAGTCAACAAATTCCTTTGGAGACTTCAGGCTGAAGGCGCAAGGAACAAGGAAGGAGGCATTTGAGCAGAGTTCCGTGCTGCGTTTCACTTACGAGATGGAAAAGGATGGGAAGCTGCCCTTTCTAGATATAACATTCATGGAAAAGGGCGGAGGTTTCCACACTGCAGTCTACACTAAGGAAACAAACATAGGAATGTGCCTAAATGCCAACAGCGACTGCCCTGACAGGTACAAGAGGAGTGTTGTTAACGCATATGTCGACCGTGCTCTCAGCCACAGCTCAGAATGGAAGCAAGTCGACGAAGAACTCTGTAGGGTAAGGCAGGTCCTAGTCAATAACGGCTTCTCCAATGGTTTCATCGAAGACATCATAAGAAGGAAAGTGAAAAGCCATGCAACCTCTGAAGAGACAACTAACACAACACCTATACCCCCTATTAGACTATTTTACAGGAACTTTTTTTCCACAGCTCATAAAACGGAGGAAAGGGTCCTGAAAGATATTGTTAACAGAAACGTTATCCCTACAGACAAAAATCAGAGGATACAACTGACGATTTACTATAAAACCAGAAAAACGGCCAGCCTACTCATGACAAACTCTCCAGACACAAAACAGAACGCTTTAAAAGAGACTAACGTCGTCTATGCCTTCAAATGCCCACTTGGGGACTGTAAGCTCCAAAAAACCCAGTATATAGGCAATACAACAACATCTCTTTCTAGGCGTTTAACGATGCATAAGCAACAGGGCTCCATTAAGGAACATATAATCTCTTCCCACAACCAAACCATCGCCAGAGAAATCCTAGTAAACAACATAGAAATCATCGATAGATACAGCGATAGCAGGCGCCTTGACGTTTGCGAGGCACTACACATCAAGAAGTCAACACCAGCAATCAACAGCCAATTATTGCACAACTATATTCTACCCACCTCAAGACTCCGCTCCAATATAGAAGCATCAAGAAATATGGACCAATAGGCTTTCTACAAACACTTCTATTCAATACCCATTGTTTGTGTTCTGTCTTGTGTTGATACTTTTAATACCCTATTAATTTAAATATCCCCTCTTGTTCTGTCTTGTGTTAATGCCACATCACCCCTCCCACCTCACTCAAATGTAGATATAAAATCGGAGATACGTAAGTTCTAATCAGTTGTGTATTTGTGAACTAAAGTCTTTGAAAATGTAATAAGTTTTACGAAACGCGCCCGTGTCGCGTCAGACTAGAAATAAAAATGAATTTTGGAGAATTGATTTTTGATTTACCTCCAACAGTGAAGCGTAATGTACGAAAGATTGAGAAAATTCGTGTTAGAATTATTAATCTTACTTTTTCGGTCATATTTAATAATATATGTCTACAGGAAAGACTGCTACCAAAATATACTAATATTAAAGCGCACGACCCAGCAGCAAGGAATCAAGCCTTCACGATAAAATATCGCCAGGATCTGATTCGTGATCAGATATACAAGGCAGAGAATGAAATCAAAGACAACAAAACGCAACTACTTCATGCTACAAACGAGTGGAGAAATAGCAACATCGACCATAGTATCCGTACCCGCATTGAACAACACCTCGACATCCTCACAGACCAACATCACCTCAGCACTGAAACAAGGATTATCAAGAAACTAACAACATTATATGGAGGACCTATGGCAATTCCACGACCAAGAGATGGCTTCCTGAACCTTGCAGGAATTAACCTCACTGAGGACCAAGTTACTCTCCTAAATCTGGGCATAAACTGTCATGTTATGTCCAGACCGAGTGAGATGGCCCGGAAAGTAGAGTTGGAAATTCTGTTGGACGACATATTCGACCTCGAGGCACAAAAGAAGGTCACTACCAAAGATACCTTACAAGCAGAACTTATTGCAGAAGGAGGAAAGAATCGAGGCAACTACAGAAGCACCATACTGTCCCCCGAGCTTAAAGCGGCAGCTAAAAGCCTTCGTGAGAACAAGGAGATAGTTGTCAGGAGAGGTGACAAGTCGCCAATATATGTCATTCTTAAAAAAGACGAATATCTGGCGAAAATGAACATCATACTCTCTGACCAAACTAAGTTCCAAAGGGTAACGAAGGACACTACAGCCGAATTAAAAGCAAAGGTCAACAAACTGATCGAAACTGTGAACGCCAAGAAATCCGGACTCCACCTGCCAAAGATCATTGGGGAATATAAACCTGGATATGCGTATGTAAATGTCAAGACGCACAAGCCTGGAAACCCACTTCGGCCAATCATTAGCCAGATACCCACACCCACGTACAGACTGGCGAAGCGACTCAACGGCCTGCTGACTCCTTATGTTCCTTGCGCCTTCAGCCTGAAGTCTCCAAAGGAATTTGTTGACTTACTGCGGGGCACACGGGCCACAGGGATAAGAGCCTCGTTGGACGTAGAATCGCTGTTTACCAACGTACCTGTGGACGAGACAATCGGAATGATAGCCGACAGAGTGTATCGTGATCCAGCCTGTACTCCTCTTGACATGCCAGAAAATATTCTGAGGAAACTACTCCAAGCTTGTACTAAAGAGGCACCCTTCTTGAGCCCGGATGGGCACATGTATAAGCAAGTAGATGGGGTCGCCATGGGTTCTCCCCTAGGTGTCCTGTTTGCAAACTTCTACATGGGTACCATCGAGCAAAAAGTCTTAGTCGACATGAACTTGAAACCGGCCATATACTGCAGGTATGTTGACGACATTTTTACACAGGTACCTGATGTCAGACATCTGCAGGAGCTGAAGGAGGCATTTGAGCAGAGTTCTGTGCTGCGTTTCACTTACGAGATGGAAAAGGATGGGAAGCTGCCCTTTCTAGATGTAACAGTCATGGAAAAGGGCGGAGGTTTCCACACTGCAGTCTACACTAAGGAAACAAACATAGGAATGTGCCTAAATGCCAACAGCGACTGCCCTGACAGGTACAAGAGGAGTGTTGTTAACGCATATGTCGACCGTGCTCTCAGCCACAGCTCAGAATGGAAGCAAGTCGACGAAGAACTCTGTAGGGTAAGGCAGGTCCTAGTCAATAACGGCTTCTCCAATGGTTTCATCGAAGACATCATAAGAAGGAAAGTGAAAAGCCATGCAACCTCTGAAGAGACAACTAACACAACACCTATACCCCCTATTAGACTATTTTACAGGAACTTCTTTTCCACAGCTCATAAAACGGAGGAAAGGGTCCTGAAAGATATTGTTAATAGAAACGTTATCCCTACAGACAAAAATCAGAGGATACAACTGACGATTTACTATAAAACCAGAAAAACGGCCAGCCTACTCATGAGAAACTCTCCAGACACAAAACAGAACGCTTTAGAAGAGACTAACGTCGTCTATGCCTTCAAGTGCCCACTTGGGGACTGTAAGCTCCAAAAAACCCAGTATATAGGCAAGACAACAACATCTCTTTCTAGGCGTTTAACGATGCATAAGCAACAGGGCTCCATTAAGGAACATATAATCTCTTCCCACAACCAAACCATCGCCAGAGAAATCCTAGTAAACAACACAGAAATCATCGATAGATACAGCGATAGCAGGCGGCTTGACGTTTGCGAGGCACTACACATCAAGAAGTCAACACCAGCAATCAACAGCCAATTATTGCACAACTATATTCTACCCACCTCAAGACTCCGCTCCAATATAGAAGCATCAAGAAATATGGACCAATAGGCTTTCTACAAACACTTCTATTCAATACCCATTGTTTGTGTTCTGTCTTGTGTTGATACTTTTAATACCCTATTAATATCCCCTCTTGTTCTGTCTTGTGTTAATGCCACATCACCCCTCCCACCTCACTCAAATGTAGATATAAAATCGGAGATACGTAAGTTCTAATCAGTTGTGTATTTGTGAACTAAAGTCTTTGAAAATGTAATAAGTTTTACGAAACGCGCCCGTGTCGCGTCAGACTAGAAATAAAAATGAATTTTGGAGAATTGATTTTTGATTTACCTCCAACAGTGAAGCGTAATGTACGAAAGATTGAGAAAATTCGTGTTAGAATTATTAATCTTACTTTTTCGGTCATATTTAATAATATATATATATATATATATATATATATATATATATATATATATATATATATATATATATATATATATATATATATATATATATATATATATATATATATATATATATTCACACACGCATTCTCACTCTGTCATTCAAAGATCTGTATCTCTCTCTCTAGCACACACAGATTAGGGCTCAAAGAAATAATGCTGATTTTCAAAATGAAACTGCAAGTTTAGAGCTGTCACTTACATCATCACGTCTGAAGCATCTCTCTCTCCCTTTTTACTGATTCATAAAAATTATTACAGAGAATTATACCTTGAAATGGACGTATGAGAGAGAGATATTTTGGTAGCAGCGTCGGCTTCAGGGAGGTTATTGTAAAGGTGTCCGGACTATAAATATTATAAAATTCTACAACGTTAAGGCGATTTGCTGTCGGTAGTGTAACAGTGGAAAAGTCCATTTCCTCCCGCTGTAGAAGACCGATCGATCCCGTGAAGATGCCGTTCGTCTCCACTCCCCAGGTGCGGTTGATAGACTCGTGGATATCGAAACTGTGGGTCAAAATGACACTGGCTAGGAACCTCAGTATGAATGATCACAATATTAAAGCTGTGTTTTAATTACGGATTAATGTGAGCTTATCTGATTATGGATTAATTTGTAAATAATGCTATTGAGTGTGGAGTGTGGTTACAGGGTTGAGCATTAGGACACAAAACCACCTTCATAGTTTTCTCTTCAATTAATACAATTCTTATTATTCCTTATAAGTCTCTTCGTAATTTACTGTCAATCTGTTCTCGCAGCACATTACATTTGATTACAACTTTAATGTTAAAGAATTTCTTCCTGACATCTCGTTGGATTATTTGTGGTTGTAATGTTAGTACCGTATATCAGTTTGAACCTGCTCTATTTGTTCATTATTTTGTAGTTTGCATTTTATAGTTTAATACAAAGACTGATCTACTAGCTACTTACTTTTACATTTAAATTTGTTTATTGAAATAACTTTACCCTCTTCTTCATCTTACCTATTCTGCTTATATACAACTTTAACATTAAAGTTTCATCTTTTTTTGTGTGAATTATCTGGGTTTCTACCCCGATCTATGCCGCGCCACGTTCTGCTTTGGACATTTTCTTTCTTCAAGAAAATTTTTTCAATTGAAAATGTTCAAATGAAATGTCTTTGGTCATTTTTCATTGTTCAAAGCATTTCAATTAGAATTGTGTATGAAGTTTTCACGTCCGCCCAATTCTTCTAAGAGAGTGAAGTCCAACTTCCTCAGAACTTACTCGTATCTCACAAGGAGCTTAGTTGTATTTCATTTTATTGTTTCGAATTTTGTTTTGTGTCTTTTCAGGTGGAGGTTCTCATATAGGTTGTATTTTTTCATGTGACTCGGAATGCTCCTTTGTCCAAATTACAAGGGGTATATTGTACGTCAGCCAGTTTTGTACACTGCACTTAAGTTATTCTTCCTTAGACTTGGGGATCATATGTGCTTCATGATCAAAGATAATCTTACACGTCGTTATCGTATTTCCTTGATTCAGTCTCCTTCATCTGTTGTGAGGTTCACTTTCTTTAGCGGTTAATGATAATTAATCCGTTACACCTCTGGTACGAGATATGTTGTATATCATTTAACATTTTACCACTTTTGTTTTTGTTTCTGTTAGAATAATATAATGACCCTAATTAATTATATCTGTGTTCGTGCTATGGCTACAGTCTGTGGTTGCTTTTAAGACTGAAGAGCTAACAGTATGTGAGACGAACGTGTCGCGAGGGACTCCGCTACTCTCGGGTTGACCAATGGTGAGTAAGGGCCTCAGTGAATATTTGGGACTCCATGAGAGTCAAATATTCACGGAGATTGTCGTTTTCCCAAGATACAACAATCATAGAGATTCTTGCAAGGTGGAACCATGGCAGAGAGAGAGTTTGAATATGTGTGTGTGTATACTCACCTAGTTGTGCTGGCAGGGGTTGAGCTCTAGCTCTTTGGTCCCGCCTGTCGACTGTCAACCAACTAGTGTACAGATTCCTGAGCCTACTGGGTTCTATCAAATCTACATTTGAAATTGTGTATGGAGTCAGCCTCCACCACATCACTGCCTAATGCATTCCATCTGCTAACTACTCTGACAATGAAAATGTTCTTCCTAACGTCCCTGTGGCTCATTTGGGTATTCAATTTCCACCTGTCTCCCCGAGTTCTCCTGTATTCCAGCGTCGTGAGGTGCAGTTCACGCAACCTTTCCTCATAACTCATGCCTCTTATTTCTGGGACTAGCCTAGTGGCATACCTCTGAACATTTTCCAACCTAGTCTTGTGCTTGACAAGGTACGGGCTCAATGCTGGGGCCGCATACTCCAGGATTGGTCTTACATATATGGTATACAAGAATCTGAAAGATTCCTTCCACAGGTTCCTGAAGGCACTCCTGATGTTAAAGAGCCTTGCATACGCCGCTGAAATTTTTCTTTTTATGTGGGATTCAAAAAACAGGTTTGGCATGATATCAACTCTTAGAACTTTCTCTCTGTCCGTTTCATGAAGGACTTCATCTCCCATTCGGTATCCTGTGTCTGGCCTCCTGTTTCTTCCGGCTAGTTTTATTACATTTGCGTGGGATGAACTTTGGCAGACTAAAAAGGATGCGTGTGTGAGTGTGTGAGTGTGTGTGTGTGTGTGTGTGTGTGTGTGTGTGTGTGTGTGTGTGTGTGTGTGTGTGTGTGTGTGTGTGTGTGTGTGTGTGTGTGTGTGTGTGTGTGTGTGTGTGTGTGTGTGTGTGTGTGTGTGTGTGTGTGTACTTACCTAATTACCTAATTGTAATTACCTAATTGTGCTTGCGGGGGTTGAGCTCTGGCTCTTTGGCCTCGCTTCTCAACCGTAAATCAACAGGTAGATTGTGTGTGTGTGTGTACTCACCTAATTGTGCATGCGGTGGTTGAGCTTTGGCTCTTTGGTCCCGCCTCTCACCTGTCAATCAACTGGTGTACAGATTCCTGAGCCTACTGGGCTCTATCATATCTACATTTTAAACTGTGTATGGAGTCAGCCTCCACCACATCACTTCCTAGTGCACTCCATTTATTAACTACTCTGACACTGAAAAAAATCTTTCTAACGTCTCTGTGGCTCATTTGGGTATTCAGTTTCCACCTGTGTCCCCTTGTGCGTGTAACACTCGTTTTAAATAATCCATCCTTGTCTACCCTATCAACTTACCTGAGAATCTTGTATGTGGTGATCATGTCTCCCCGGGCTCTTCTGTCTTCCAGCGACGTGAGATGCAGTTTACGCAGCCTTTCCTCGTAACTCATGCCTCTTAGTTCTGGGACTAGCCTAGTGGCATACCTCTGAACTTTTTCCAGTTTTGTCTTGAGCTTTACAAGGTACGGGATCCATGCTGGGGCCGCATACTACAGGATTGGCTTTAGATACGTTTATACAAGGTTCAAAAAGATTCTTTACACAGGTTTTTGATGGCAGTTTTGATGTTAGCCAGCCTCGCATACGCAGCCAGTGTTATTCTTTTGATGTGGGTTTCAGGAGACAGGTTTGGCGTGATATCAACTCCTAGATCTTTCACTTTGTTCGTTTCGTGAACAACTTCATCTCCCTTTCTGTATCCAGTGTCAGGCCCCCTATTTCGTCCCCATAGTTTCATTACCTCACATTTACTTGGGTTAAACTTTAGTAGCCATTTGTTGGACCATTCATTTAGTTTGTTTAGGTCATCTTGAAGCTACATACTATCATCCTTCGTTTTAATCCTCCTCATAATTTTTTCCTTGTCCTCAGACATTGAGAGGAACGAGTCTATTCCCTTTGGGAAATCATTTACATATATCAGGAACAGTATAAGTCAAAGAACTCATCCCTGAGGGACTCCATTTGTGACGTTTTGCCACTCCGAGACCTCACCCCCTCTCAGTGACTTGCTGTCTTCTGTTGCTTAGGTACTTCCTTATCCAGTGGAGTACCTTACCTTTCACTCGTGCCTGCATCTCCAATTTGTGCACCAGTCTCTTATGTGGTATTGTGTCCAAGGCTTTCTGGCAATTCAAAAATATGCAGTCTGCCCAGCCCTCTCTTTCTTACCTGATTTTTGTTTCCTGATCATAGAATTCAATCAATCCTGTGAGGCATGAGCTGCCATTCCTGAACCCATGTTGATGTTTTGATACAAAGTTCTTCCACTCCAGATGTTCCACTAGTTTTTTCGCACAATCTTCTCCATTACTTTGCATGGTATGCAAGTTTGGAACACTGTCCTGTAGTTCAATGCCTCCTGTTTATTACCCTTCTTGAATATCGGGACTACATTAGCCGTCTTCTAAGTTTTTGCCAGTTCACCTGTCACCAGTGATTTGTTATACTCCATGGCCAGTGGCTGACACAGAGGTTCAGCTCCTTCCCACAGTATCCATGGTGAGATTCCATCTGGGCCTATAGCCTTTGTCACTTCCATCTCTAGCAGATGCTTCCTCACTGGTAAATACAAACTCATCTAGTGGTGTTTGGTTATATCTTCCCTCTACTCAACTCAACTCTACATTCCCTCATGATCAACCAGGCTGTGACTCATACGTCAGGCTGCGAGCAGCCGCGTCCAACAGCCTGGTTGATCAGTCCGGCAACCAGGAGGCCTGGTCGACGACCGGGCCGCGGGGACGCTAAGCCCCGGAAGCACCTCAAGGTAACCTCAAGGTAAGGTACTCGGCCGACTGGGGGAGCCGGTCGGCCGAGCGGACAGCACGCTGGACTTGTGATCCTGTGGTCCCGGGTTCGATCCCGGGCGCTGGCGAGAAACAATGGGCAGAGTTTCTTTCACCCTATGCCCCTGTTACCTAACAGTAAAATAGGTACCTGGGTGTTAGTCAACTGTCACGGGCTGCTTCCTAGGGGTGGAGGCCTGGTCGAGGACGGGGCCGTGGGGACACTAAGACCCCGAAATCATCTCAAAATCTCAAGATAACCGCCTGTATTTGGGACTTCCCCTTGCTTTACTGTGAAGACTTCCTGAAATTTCTTATTGAGTTCCTCGCACACCTCCTTGTCGTTTGTAGTGAATTCGTCTGCTCCTATCCTCAGTTTCATTACTTGCTCCTTCACTGATATTTTTCTTCTGATGTGGCTATGCAGCAATTTAGGCTGCATAGCCTAAATTGCTGCATAGCCTGCAATTGCTGCATAGCCTGCATAGCCTAGCCTGCATAGCCTAGCCTGCATAGCCTAGCCTGCAAGGCAAAGACTCAGTTCCTTGAGTCTTTGCCTTGCTTGCTATGTCATTCTCATATTATCTTTCTGCCCCTCTTCTCTCCCTGACGTATTCATTCCTGGCGCTCTGGAATCTTTCTCTGCTCACTAGTGTCCTATTATTTCTGCATTTTGTCCACGTCATTTTACTTATTTGCTTTGCTAGCTTACATCTCTGATTAAACCATGAATTTTAGTCTACATTTCATTTCTTTCCTTTTTTGGACTGGGACGAACTTGTCTGCTGCCTCCTTACACTTCTGCGTAATGTAATCCAGCATGCCTTGGGCCGTTTTTCCTTCCAAGTTATATCTGTTAGGAATTTTCTTATCTTCTCAAATTTTCCCTTTCGGAATACCAGCAATTTTTTTTCTGGGCCCTTCCTTGAGTACATTAACCCCTCTTCGACCAGATACTCAAACATCGGTATGCTGTGATCGCTCATTCCCACAGGGGGCCTCAAAACCGATTTCCCTTATGTTAAAGTCGTTCAAACTGAAGACTAGGTCGAGTCTCGCTGGTTCATCGTTGCCTCTCATTCTTGTGGGTTTCCTGACATGCTGATTTAAACAGTTCCTTGTCACCACTTCCAACAGTTTTCCTCTCTATGTTCCCTCACCTCCGTGTGGTTCCTCGTTTTCCCAGTCTATCTTTCCACGATTGAAGTCCCCCATGTTGAGCAGGTGGACTCTATTTCTCCAGGCAGCAGTGGCTGTTCTCTCAATTATAGTGTTGACTGACATGTTATTTCTGTCATACTGATGCCTGGGTCTTCTGTCGTTTGGTGGAGGGTTCTATATATCACTGTTACTATTACTCTCAGTCCTCCCATTGTCATGGTGCCAGTAATGTAGTATCTGAACCCCTCACTGCTCACTGAATCACTGCTACTATTACTCTCAGTCCTCCCATTGTCATGACTCCTGTAATGTAGTCTCTGAACCCCTCGCAGCCTGGGATAACCGTCGTTTCGAAACTCTATTCTTTTCTTATCAGTAAGGCCACTCCGCCTTCTCCTCCTGTATTCACCTAGGTGTGCTTGCGGAGGTTGAGCTCTGCTCTTTCGGCCCGCCTCTCAACTGTCAATCAACTGTTACTAACTACTAGTTTATTCACACACACACACACCCCAGGAAGCAGTTAAGTAACAGGTGTCTAACTCCTAGGGACCTCTTTACTGCTAGGTAACATGGGCATCAGGGTGAAAGAAACTTTGCTCATTTTTCTTGCCTAGTCCGGGAATCGAACCCGGGCCAGAGGATTACGAGTCCTGCGCGCTGTCCAGTCAGCTACCAGACCCGCTAGATCCTGTGTGTGTGTGTGTGTGTGCATACACATCATGTTAGAAATAATTTATCCACAACCTCAAATTTTACAGAGAAAATAGAATCTTACGTGAAGTTGAGCTTGTCAGCGAAGGTGTGGATGAGCCGGGCATCAAGGGAGTCTCTCAGCAGGACGGCTGTTCCCGGGGCCTCGCTCACCCGCTGGTAGAGAATGTACGGTGACACTTCCGCTGCTGTTGCTATTCTTATCTTGTGATTCATAAAATCTTGAAAGCTCTCTGTCGAGGTTGGATACATTGTGAATAGAATTTAAAAACTAAAATATATGGTTTTATTTTGATTTTTAATAATGCTCTAATGTTTTCGAATCAGAATAAGGACTAATGGTTATTCGGGGCAAGTGCCGGCATTAACACCAGTCCTCCATACACAGGTGTTTGAGAGTTTTTTCTGTGTCAATGATATAAAACTGTCGTCTCACATATTGAATACATTTTTTTATTAGATTTTGTGAAATGATTATATATATATATATATATATATATATATATATATATATATATATATATATATATATATATATATATATATATATATATATATATATATATATATATATATATATATATATATATATATATATATATATATATATATATATATATATATATATATATATATATATATATATATATATATATATATATATATATATATATATATATATATGTAGTACCTAGTAGCCAGAACGCACTTCTCAGCCTACTATGCAAGGCCCGATTTGCCTAATAAGCCAAGTTTTCATGAACTAATGTTTTTTCGACTACCTAACCTACCTAACCTAACCTAACCTAACCTTTTCGGCTACCTAACGTAACCTAATTAATAAAGATAGGTTAGGTTAGGTTAGGTAGGGTTGGCTAGGTTCGTTTCCTTAGTGTAGATTTCTACACTAATAATGTGTAATAATGTTTCCTTAGTGTAGATTTCTACACTAAGGAAACAAACATAGGAATGCGCCTAAATGCCAACAGCGACTGCCCAGACAGGTACAAGAGGAGTGTTGTTAACGCATATGTCGACCGTGCTCTCAGCCACAGCTCAGAATGGAAGCAAGTCGACGAAGAACTCTGTAGGGTAAGGCAGGTCCTAGTCAATAACGGCTTCTCCAATGGTTTCGTCGAAGACATCATAAGAAGGAAAGTGAAAAGCCATGCAACCTCTGAAGAGACAACTAACACAACACCTATACCCCCTATTAGACTATTTTACAGGAACTTCTTTTCCACAGCTCATAAAACGGAGGAAAGGGTCCTGAAAGATATTGTTAATAGAAACGTTATCCCTTCAGACAAAAATCAGAGGATACAACTGACGATTTACTATAAAACCAGAAAAACGGCCAGACTACTCATGAGAAAGTCTCCAGACACAAAACAGAACGCTTTAAAAGAGACTAACGTCGTCTATGCCTTCAAATGCCCTCTTGGGGACTGTAAGCTCCAAAAAACCCATTATATAGGCAAGACAACAACATCTCTTTCTAGGCGTTTAACGATGCATAAGCAACAGGGCTCCATTAAGGAACATATAATCTCTTCCCACAACCAAACCATCGCCAGAGAAATCCTAGTAAACAACACAGAAATCATCGATAGATACAGCGATAGCAGGCGGCTTGACGTTTGCGAGGCACTACACATCAAGAAGTCAACACCAGCAATCAACAGCCAATTATTGCACAACTATATTCTACCCACCTCAAGAATCCGCTCCAATATAGAAGCATCAAGAAATATGGACCAATAGGCTTTCTACAAACACTTCTATTCAATATCCATTGTTTCGTGTTCTGTCTTGTGTTGATGAAATTAATACCCTATTAATACCACATCTTGTTCTGTCTTGTGTTAATGTCACATCACCCCTTCCACCTCACTCAAATGTAGATATAAAATCGGAGATGCGTAAGTTCTATTCAGTTGTGTATTTGTGAACTAAAGTCTTTGAAAATGTAATAAGTTTTACGAAACGCGCTCGTGTCGTGTCAGACTAGAAATAAAAATGAATTTTGGAGAATTGATTTTTGATTTACCTCCAACAGTGAAACGAAATGTACGAAAGATTGAGAAAATTCGTGTTAGAATTATTAATCTTACTTTTTCGGTCATATTTAATAATATATATATGTATATATATATATATATATATATATACATATAATTTATATATGAATGATAGATGTTTCCTTCGGGAATCTTAATTTCAAAATGAATAAGTAAACCAATTACAAACAACTTGTTAAAAATCTTCTTTATTTTTAAGTAATTTCCATTAATATTTCTCGTATTGTTCATCAGATGTAACAAAAAAATACAGGTCATAATAAGCAACAGATAATGAACGCGTACTAAACAAAAATACCTCTCAGAAGACAAGAGATATAAAACAACACTACGTGAAGGAATCAAACAAAGATAAATTTTATAAATACGAAGTAGATACTCAAAACTAATTAAAAAATTATAATAATAATTACACACTTTCAGAAATTTTATATAAAACACAAGCAATTAAAAATATTTATAGAATAGTAACGAAATAATTGTGAGAAACATAAATATTAGACAAAACTGATTCCAATTCAAGTCAATTTCTTTCTTTATTATGCACCCCATACCCATCCCGTGGGTGGTGGTGTAAAGGATAACAGAGGCAGATAATCGGTTAAGGAACTGAAGCTGAAACGTTGTTATTTATCAGAGGCAACAGCTCCCTGATATATAAGGATTCCATTATTCTAAAATCCGACTGGCCATTGATGCAAGTGTCTCAAATTTTAAAATCGGATTCCAGCAGAAAATGATTCAATTCATTATAAGGATTTCTAATCTCCGAGAATGCTGGTTTTGACAATAGTAATCCAGTCCTAAATGATACTCTCCGGTGGTCCAGTATCCTAATCTTAATGTTCCGAATGGAGCTTCCGATGTATTCAGCATTACAATTGGAACAAGTATACATATTTACGATACAGGAGCACACGGGGGAGTAGTGTATAACCCCACATACACCAGTATGAGTAGTGTATGCTGTGATCATACCTTAGTGTGAGAAAGGCAGTGAAGCCTAGTATCACTATTATTTTAATATACTATTATGTGTATACACAATCAAGTCTCATGTATTATTGTATATGACATGACTTCTGTATCACTGTATGTGCTATGTATATTTACATGACTAATGTATCACTGGCGTATGTATTAATATATATATCTAATAATATGATGTCAAGTATAATAGGCTATTATTGGTTGATTAATATTGCTTTACTTGTATTGTGAATATATATACCCATTGACAGAGATTTGAGAGTATGTTGTTATAGTATACTTTTCTTGTATTATGGTATAACTATGTACTGATGAATATTGTATTAGGGAAGAGTGGTAACGGTTGACGTTGCAAAAATATTTAGAATCCTCCCTTACCCCCTACTCCTCCCCCTTTCCTTGCCTGGCGAGATTAAAATTAAATATTATCAAGTCTAGTAGATTGGAATTATCTGTTATACCTTTTGATTATCATTCTATTATTAATTGTGTGCCTATATGCTCAAAACATGTTATATTATGAGTTGTATATCTTGTTACTCACTAGTTCTGCGTATGCTCGTATTAGTGCGTAATAGTTCTGTGCATTGACTTATAAAATATTGTGATATGAGTAATAAACTTTGAAAAGACTGACGGTTAGTTCACAGAGTTGGTTCCAGTGGGTTACCGCACGGCGTCCGGCGCTTTCGCCTCACTGGTCTGAGGTCATTGCTGGAGGTCGGACGTACACGGTCCGATTCCCTTTCTGTTGGCGTAATTGTTGGTCTACGGACCCTGAATTCATATTGATGCAAATTGATGGTACTGTATGGTGATGAATCACAACTAACCAAGGTGTTCTTCTTTTTTGGGGAGCATTGTGGAAACAGGTGGTAAGTGACTTTATTTTGTATTAGCAGTTTTATGAATCAGTAGGGCGCACCTTTGCCCATCCATCATTGGATGTAGAGTGCTGGGTACCTTGAGGACTTTATTGTGATTTTGAGGGTCCTAACTGAGACTGACTTTTCCCTAACTTAATTGATTATGTGTCACCTCCATACCGTATTCATGACCTTGAACATACTAGGAACTAGTGTACCACTGCTCAGGGATGGGGGCCTAGTGTCAGTTAGTTCATTAATTGATGCTATACCTAGCACTATTATGATGAACCCGAGGAGCTTTGATAAAAGCTATAGTTTTATATTGCTCTTGATGAACAGTTTGATATATCTAATACAATTATTACGTTGTTCTGCTTAGATATGCCCCAGTAAACTATTGATTTTTTATTGACTTTTCCCTAACCCTCGACAACATTATTGTAGGCTAGGTGATTTTATGGTGATTGGGGAAGGTAGCACGTCGCCAGAAATGCTGTGGAGTACGCAGACACAACAGGTGTCTGCGTACTTTATCTTTAAATTTTAGATAAGAGCCTATGGTATTTGTATTGACAAATATAAATCTAAAGTCACCTTGAGGATAACAATGCTGTACACGTTTCCTCAATCGATTTCTTACAGAAAAACTAATGGTGCCATAAAAGGGTAATTTTATATATTTAATATCTCTTTCTAATGTAGTAATTCTACAAGAAGGGTGAAACTTCTTATTTAAGAAATTCCTTATAAAAGTATATACCATATGAGCAGTGTTAACATTATTTGAAAAAAAGAATCAAAAGGAAATTAATTTCTTGATAAAAGTTAGACCAATTTGAACGTAAAACAAAGACTCTTCAGAAGAGTATTAATTGAATTTTTCTTAAAAAATATCTGGAACAAAAGAATTAAAAATTAAGCCTAATCCAGTAAAAGTTGGTTTTCTATAAACATTAGTGTTAAAACTATTAAGGTTATTCACTCTGACGTCCAGAAACGACAACGAATTATCCCTTTCACACTCGGCAGTGATACGTATATTACAGTGTTGTGAATTAAGATACTCTCTAAATTTCTCAACATGAGATTGGTCCTTGAATAACAAAAAAGTGCCATCCACATATCTGAACATGACTGGCTTAAAGTTCAGAGGATATTTATCAAGCCAATTTCTCTCACGAAAGCTCAAAAAAAAAAGCATTATCAAGTGCGGGGCCTAATGGAGAACCCATTGCTACTCCATCAATTTGTTTATAATATTAAATATTAAACATAATGACGGAGTCTTTACCTGCCAACTCTAACAACCGTC